TAACAGATATAAGAGAACTTTTAGAGGTAATGTTTTTCTCAGAATCTGCTCTTACATACCAATAATTTTAACTGATTCCATTAAACACAATTTCCTAGCTTTAGGAATCCTTTTTTTTTTTACCTCTTATTTTCCTTTTTACTAAACAAAAGCATACAACACAAAATCTTAATCACGGAAAACATCTACTCTGTATTAAATACCATACTCTAAGCAATTCAACCGCAACTTCACAACTGGAAACACTTAAACAAAATTTTTTCTAACAATATACTGGTGATTTGCATTTGTGAAAAAAATACATACTATTAAAAAATAAAGTGAAATGTCTTGTCTTCCCATTTCAGGGCACTATAACAGTTGTTTTGTTTGTTTGTTTGTTTTTTGTTTTTCTGTCCTATGTGAAAATTATGTCTGTTCTTCCTTATATAGATGTAAATATCTTCTTGCTTTAAAATTCCAAAGATTAGATTCCTAAATAACACTTATTTATTAACTCATTACATAGTGATTGAAAGCCTGCTGTGTAAGAGATATTGTTACTGGACATGAGGTTGTAGACACTAACATGAGCGAGAAGAAAAGGATGAAGCAGAGTTATACAGTGAGCCCTAAGTCAGCAATAACCACGATAAGGAAGTTTAAAAATAGGGCCAACAGGAAGATTTGAATAATTATATCTAAAAAGTCAAAGAAGTCTCCTGGATGCACTGCATGATTTGAAGGACAAAGATGAGTTAGTGACCTGAACCAACGAACCGAGAGAATAAGGATATACACATCACAAAAACAAAATCAAAACCAAATTTCCTCTTCAGCCTCTGGCCCCCACCAAAAAACCCAGCATATGTGTCACGGAGGTGTGAAACAAACGGTGTATTTGGAAACCCCAGGCATCTTAGGGATGATGAACACCAAGTGTGAAATGCAGGGTAGGAATGAGGCTTCCCTTTCAAGTAATGATGGGTCGGGGCTCCTGGGTGGCTCAGTCGGTGAAGCATCCTGCTCTGGATTTCGGCTCAGGTCATGATCTCAGGGTTGTGAGATGGAGCCGCCTGGGCATGGAACCTGCTTGGGATTCTCTGTCCCTCTCCTTCTGCCCCCCCCCCCAATAAATAAAATAAAGTAACGATGGGTCAGGGAATTCCAGATTGAAGGAATCTGGGCAGGGGCTGAGCTGCCAGAGGGAGCAGGCTGGCTCACGGGGCTCAGGGCATGGTAGGCAATCCTTGGGCAAGGGGAAAGGAGAACTAGAAGCATGTACAGAGAGCACCCAAGAGCTGCAAGAGCAGAGTCCCTGAAAGAGAGAGGGAGTTTGCTTTGTGACATTTGGATACCATTCATTCAGGGGCCAACACTGGGCTGGGTTTTGGATGTGGAAGAAAACTAAAACATTGTCTCCTAAGGCAGACAGTGACTTAAAGCAACACAAACTTATTATCTCACAGTTCTGAGGGTCAGAAGTCCAAATGTGTCTCCCTGAGCTACAATCAAGGTGTTGGTGGGGCTGCGTTCCATTCCCAGGGCTTGAGGGGAAATTCAATTTCTTGCCTTTTCCAGCTTCTAGAGGCTGCCCACTTCCCTTGGCTTGTGGCCACCCTGCCTGCCCATCTTTAAAGCCAGCAATGGCCCATCAGACCTTTCTCACATCCCATCACTCTAAACAGATAATCCTGTCTCCCTCTTCCACTTTTGAGGACCCCTGGAATTATAAAGGACTCACTTGGATAATCCAAGATATTCTTCCCATTTCAAGGTCAGCTGATTAGCAAACTTAATTCCATCTGCAATCTTAACTCTCCCTTGCCAGGTACCGTAACACATTCACAGGTCCCAGGAATTAGGACATGGGCATTTTGTGGCATTATTTTATCTGCCATATTTGTTTTGAAAGTTTATGGTCTAGTTTCAAAAGATTTTGATGAGATGTACCACCCATGGAAGCCACTTGAATCTTTTTTTCTTTTTTTTTTAAAGATTTTATTTATTTATTTATTTGAGAGAGAGAATGAGAGAGAGAGAGAGAGAGCATGAGATGGGGGAGGGTCAGAGGGAGAAGCAGACTCCCTGCTGAGCAGGGAGCCCGATGTGGGACTCGATCCCCGGACTCCAGGATCATGACCTGAGCTGAAGGCAGTTGCATAACCAACTGAGCCACCCAGGCGCCCAGAAGCCACTTGAATCTTACAACATACACTTGAGAAGAGGAAAATGCCCATTCCATTAACTGGTCTGTGGACAGGGTTGAAGGCAAAGCCCAGTCCATTCAAGGTCAAATGAGTTCAAAGCTGAGCACTGATACCTTGTGGATTTATTGGAAGAGAGAAGCAGACTTTTTTGCTTTATTTAAGTCATCCCCTGATAGAGATAGAATACTCTGCTAAAACTATGGGAGAAAATTCATCATAAGATAGAGTAAGAATAAAAGACCATGCAAGTTTGACGATCTTTTCCAGGTGGGATAAACAGTGAACTCTCAGTGGGCAATGTTTTCCTGTTGCTAGGCCGACTAGCTGTGGTGGCTGAGTTGTTTATCTTTGAGAAAACATACCTATATCTTTCTACTTGACAACTACAATATAATCTGTCTGGGAGTTGTTCATCATTTAAGAAAGGGTGAAAAAAGTCCTCTCCCAGAAAGTGTTCAAATCCGTGAGCCGAAATGATGATAACATCATGAGAGGCATCATAATTTATCTGGAGCATGTAAATCACCGGGGCCCCCTCTGAGGATGCTCACTAAAATGATGAATAGCTCTGTGAGCTGTAAGATCAACCCCCAGGAATTCACCAGCGAGCCTTTGACAGCAGAGCTGCCTCCCTGTCTCCGGGTTGGGAAGAGGCAGTAACTTCACAGATTTGAAAATTCAGTTTTTTAACCACTTGTTAAAATGTTTAGCTGAAGACTTTACCCGCAAAGGCATAGCCTGGAAAGAGGTGAACAATAATCCTAGGCTCTGATCAAAATAGAGGCTGGTGTGGATATGCTGGCTTGCCAATTTTTTTCTTTTTTTTTTTTTAGTTGGTATGTTCTGCGATGTCTTAACTTGCTGTCTCTTCGCCAGTGTAACTAGTCTTATGGTCAGATAACCCTGCATTTTCCAAGAAAATAGGTCTCTACTGAGTGTGCATATCCCTGCTGCCTCCTGCAAAAAGTTGAAGTAAAAATGGGAAATGTTTTGTGTGTTCGATTTTAGAAAATTTAGCACTTATAGTAAAAGGTTGATAGATAATAGTATATTGAGGTTTTCATTGTATTATTCTGCATAGATGTGGATGATATATATATATTTTTTTTAGTTTTAGTAACTATTGCAGGCTGAATGTTTGTGTCCCCTCAAATCCCTATGTTGAAGTGTTAGCCCTCAACATGATGGTATTTAGAGCGGGGCCTTTGGGTGGTGTTAGGATCAGAGGAGGTCATGAGGATGGGGCCGGCATGATGGGATTAGTGCCCTTCGAGGAAGAGGAAAACAGAGATCTCTCCTCAGTCTCTCTCTCCCTCTCTCTCCATGCATGCACAGAGGAAAGCCTACACAAGCACACAGTGAGGAGGCAGCTATCTGCAAGCCAAGAAACAAGTCCTCACCAGGAACCTGATTTGCCGGCACCTTGACCTTGGATTTTCCAGGCACTAGAAGTCTGAGAAATAAACGTGTGCTATTTCAGCTACGCGGTCTATGGTATTTTGTTGTAGCAGCCTGAGCAAACAGGAATTTAAGAGTAAGAAAGATATTATTAATTTTCATATTCATCCATCATAGTGCTTTGAATATTGAAGTCACTCAGTATGATATTATTATTCGAATAATTAATGGTAATGATAAAATAATAAAAATAACAAATGATCCTAAAAGTCTTGCACTGGGGGAGCCTGGGTGGCTCAGTCGTTAAGCGTCTGCCTTCGGCTCAGGTCATGATCCCAGGGTCCTGGGATCGAGCCCCGCGTCGGGCTCCCTGCTCCGCGGGAAGCCTGCTTCTCCCTCTCCCACTCCCCCTGCTTGTGTTCCCTCTCTGGCTGTCTTTCTCTCTGTCAAATAAATAAAACCTTAAAAAAAAAAAAAGTCTTGCACTGAGTGCTCACCGTGTCATGTGCTTTGCTCAACGTGGTACACATTTTATCTGAATTCTCACAGAAGCCACATTTGATAGGTGTTATTATCTATCCATATTATGTCTAGGGAATTAACATCTGAAGAATTAAAACTGACCTGTTCAAAGTCTCCCAGCTAGGAAGCCCTGAAGCTGTGATGTGAACTCAGGTTTCCTTGACTCCAGAGTAAGAATCTTTATCTGTGCTGAACTAATTGTATTAACCTAATGAGTTAAATGAGTTAAATGAGTAATTGCAGGAAAGGGCACTAATTTCTAAGAAGGAGGCATGCACCAGGTCTTCAGGTACCAAAAAAAAAAAAAAAAAAAGAGAGAGAGAGAGAGAGAGAGAGAGATTCATCTCAATTATTCTGGAGTTGCAGGGTTATGAAAAGCTTCTCAAAGGATGTAAAATTCTCACCCAACATGTCCCATATTATGATCAGGCCTTCCCCATACAAGAGCCAATGTTGTTTCAGCAGGAAATATACTCAAGTACCTAAAAATAAGCAAGTCTTTGATAACTTCATTGTGCGTGTCTTACACAGAGCATGTAGCGGGGGGCATTTCTCTAGCACCTGTCTCTCTGGGTTGTTCCAGTGGGAAACCAAATGGAGTCTGGGAGTGTGTATTAGTCTGCTGGGCCGCCATAACGAAGTACCACAGACTGGGTGGCTGAAACAACAGAAACTTATTTTCTCACGGTTCTACAGGAGGCTGGAAGTCCAAGATCAAAGTGTCAGCAAGATTGGTTTCATCTGGGGCCTCCCTGCCTGGCTGGCAGATGGCCCTTTTCTGCTTGTGCTTTCACATGGTCTTTCTTCCAAATTTCCCCTTTAAGTAAGGACCAGTCATATCAAGTCAGGAGCCCCCCGCCCCGCCCAGTGACCTCATTTTCACTTACATACCTCTTTAAAGACCCTATCCCCAAATACGTCGCATTCGGAGATCCTGCGGTCAGGACTTCAACATACGAATCTTTGGTGGACACAACTCAGCCCCGTACAGGGTGACACTGAGGAGCCGTGGACCTCAGAGCCAGACCAACGTGGGTTCAACTCTCAGCCCCGACTGTGTGACCTCAGGGGAGCCACCCCCACACCTAGCATCAGTTCTGTCTGCCGTGAAGGAGGACAGATGAGACTTTGCCAGGGGTCTGTGGCATCTAGAGCTGGTGCCTATAGACAGGGGCTACTTGATAAATGGTAGCTGCAACTCCACGGCTTCTTCTCGGTGACACCAAAGATGGTGTGTGATGCTCCCCTGGCCGGCAGATTCCTCTCCCATGGCTTCTTCCTTCTGGGCTAAGTTTCCTGTAACTGGAGGACCTTTACACAAATGTTTGCCCAGCAGATTCCTGCCCCTCTTATCAGGACAGCTGGGACAATGGGAAGTTTTCTGGTCTCTCTCTTTCTCCGTGCCAGGCACAGACCATGCACTTTGTGAACTTTTCCTTGACTCTTACTGGAAATAAGAAAAAAAGAGAGAGAGAAGACTGTGGTCTTCGCCTTCCAGTAACATAATGGAGTCTGTTTCCTTGGGGTTTGGCAGAAAGAGGTGCTGGTGGCAACATGACAAGGTCATGCCCTCCTGCCCATGGATGCTGTTCCAGATGAGGCCCCCTCTGAACACAGACCGGGGGCCCTGGGGAGCCCACAATACAACCTGTCACCAGGCAGCCCTGGGAAACACAAATCGCATTTTGGAATAAAACAAACAAACATCAGCCTCTGAATACTCTCACGCCCAAGGTCATTTGTGTCACCCACATGGCCTGTGGGACCCCAGAGAAATATAAAACCAGAGAGTGGTCCTTTGATCTTGCACCTTCTTTGGAACGTTTTATTTAATCAATTAACCATGAAGTCCCTCCACTTCACTTATGCAGGCCTATATATAAAATGACTTTGGTCTGGCTGACACTTTCCTGCATCCGAGATCAAAGATTGGAGAAAATACCAAATTCTGCCAGGATAATTCTGAGGCTTTCCCCCCAGCACACTCCCCCTCCCCCTCTACCCTACCCCAGCTCTCAGAAGCACTTTTCTCTCAAGGACAGAAAGGGGAAATGGTGGATGCTGATGGACACACACAAAAAAGCTTCGTGAGGATTTAAGAAGCCCATTAGGATAAGAGGCGAGTTGGTGGCCAGTGGAGTATGCCGGGGTAAACTCAGCTAACAAAGTCCATTTTAAAAGTTAAAAATGGGGGTGGGAGAACAGAATGAAATGCACTTTCTGGAGGAATTTTGAGAGTGGCCTCCTATTTAGGAAGTCAGGACAGCGCTGCGAGATTAATTAGATCTATGAGAGCAGGCTCTGAATCTTCTGAACCCAGGCTTGCAGTCTAACCTAATCACCTGTTACTAATGATATATGATGCTGTCATTCTCAGGAAGAAAACTCCTTCCCAGGCATGTGTGCATTCATGAGAGAATACAGGGAGAGAACACTGGTTCCCACCATTTTGCCACAAAGGGAGAGCTGAAAACCGATCATTTGTGGAGAGCCTGCTGTGTCTTGGCCAGGGCTAGGAACTTTACATACTATCTCAATGTTCTCCAACACAATAACCCTAGGGAAGGCACAGTATATTATCAGCATTCTCGGATGATGAATCCAAATCTCCGAGTGGTTCAAAGGCTTGCTGGTGGTCAGACAGAGACTCCAAAAGTCCAACACCCACTTGTCATTGCTCACTTGTATAATTTTTTCACCTATGGGTTTCATCGTGTGAAAGGTTCACTCCACTGTATACCCCAAAATAATTTATTTTCTTGATTTCAAGTACAGACATCTATAACTGTTGATCATAGCTTTTGATCAGCATGAGCTAACCAGTGTCAGGACACTGAGCTCATAAATTCCCAATCAAAAGGGGAGAAAGTACAGACTCGTGGCAGGAAAATAAATTATACTGTCCCGAGCTACTGAAAATAATTATAACTCTTTATTAAGCACCTTTCATATGCCAGTTGTGGTTCTGGGCACCTTACTCATCCTCTCAGTAATCCTTCCCCGGTCTTGTGACATAGACATTTCTATCCCCATTCTACAGATACAGAACCAAGGCTCAGTAAGGGGAAAACCTTGCTCAGCCTTTCTCAGCTAGTACCTGGGATTTGAATCTCGAGTCTCAATCTCACATAGCTTCTGAATCTTTATTAATTATCTAATTAGAATATTGGGGTTTGAGAATCCAGATTGGGAAGGCTTTGATATAGAAACTACTATTATGGTATTAAAGAAAATGTGATATTCTCTCTTTTTCTTTTTCTTTTTTTTTTATTTTTGAGAGAGAGAGAGAGAGTGAGCAGGGGCAGGGGCAGAGGGAGAGAGAGAATTTTAAGCAGGCTCAATGCCTAGCACAGAGCCTGACTTGGGGCTCAATCTCACAACCCTGAGATCCTGACCTGAGCTGAAATCAAGACTTGGATGCTCAACCGACTGAGCCACACAGGCGCCCCAAGAAAATGTGACATTCTTAAAAGTTTCCTCTACAATTTGCTGAGTTCTATAAGATGAAGTGTCCTGACCGATCACTGTGGTCCAGCCCTTGACCTGGATGTGAGTGCCCAGTGGATTTCCGACACGTGGGGCTTCATGAAGCCAGCCCAAAGACACTTAATTGGCCATTAAGGGTAATTCTTACTTCATATTCAAAATATTTCCTAATCCTGGCCCTAGTAGAAAAAGCCAAAGGGTTACTTAGAAGCCTTTTGAAATAACTGCCTCTAAATACTGTCAAGCTAAGCAAAAGAAAAATTACAAAGAGTGAAGTAAGAGACGCTTCCAACATAATTTCAAGAAGAGTCTAGAAGCAGGAGAAACACACAGAGTCCAAACGGGCAGGGCTGAGCCCCCATCATGACGTGAAGCAAAATGGAAAGTTTGGGGTGAGGTTTGGAAAGGAAGAGAGCATGCCTGTGTGGCGTGGGGATTGTGGTCCAGAGGGCTGGACAGAGAAAGGGGCCCCTGCTTCATGTCATCCTTAACAACACATGTGGTAGGGATGAAGATTAGAAGCACCGAATGCGCTAGAGGAAGCAGATGTCCGTGTGGTCAGTACAGCAACTCTGTTGACCAGAAATTCCGAAAAATAGGAGGGTGGTTTTTGTTCATGATCCAGGAGAAAACCATTGAGGGGAAGTGGTTCCAATCAGCCACCAAAGCCCTGGATGAAGATGCTCTCACGTGTTCGTGCTGGGTTTGGAATCTCCCTTCTGAGGGGAGAGGAGCTCTCCCCCGCCCCCCCCCCAAAAAATCCATTTTCAGCATGAACACTCTACGTAGGGAATGAGACGGAATCACTGATCATAACAGCTAAGATTTGTTGGCTGTTTAATAAGTACTTATTTTCAGTACTCCATAATGGTATGCCATTTTACTCTCACAACAACCCTGTAGGGTGGGTGCTATTTACAGATGAGGAAACTGAGGTGCAGAGGGGTAAACTGACTGACCTAAGATTGCAGAGTGGGTGTATGCTGGAGTTGGGGGTTGAAAATCAGACCCTGGGCATCAGAGGCCACCCGCTAGCCATCATATTACAATGGCAGAGCCTGCATATCAGAGCAGTGGTGCATTCAGACAGCTTCTGTTCACTCAGCACTCCTTACAATAAACTAGGGAACTTCACTCCAGGGGGAGGAAGAGAACTGAGTATTACCTTATCATAGTGTTTAATTTTTACCTGATAGGAACTCTGCTTTCTGAAATATTGACTTTAGAGATCTTAGCATAGTCCTGATATCATGATGAGATTATCACCTTAACAGAATTATGTTAGCCAAATTTGGCCAAATATTTCTCTGGGGAGAAGCTACCCCAGGGATGAGTAAGATGGAGGCTCAGTGACTGAGGTAAAGCAGCCGAGTCCTTAAGAACACTTAAGAAGATGCAAGTGACCTACCCTGAGCACCTACTATGCATCAGACACCCACTTTAGGGCACCACCCCCATTAACATAAATGCCAACCACCCCACCCATGCACTGTGTGAAGAACATATGGTGGGGATGGCATCATCATTCCCTATAGCTCAGGACACTCACCTGTATTTGCCCCTGGTGGTATTTGAACATGACCACTGCATTTTACTCTATTATTGGTGCCTTTTCCACTTATCGTAGTGTCTCCCCAAAGCAGGGGAAACTAAAAAAAATGAAAAGCTTATAGGCTCTGGTCAGAGTACGTAGCCTTGGTGGCCTGTTCTGCAATTTTCATTAAAAGATGAAATGAGCAAAAATGAAATTCAGTATTTATGGATGATTAACTGAAACAGAGGCCCACAATGTGTTTTGATCGTATAAATTAAAAAGAAACACTTTTGAATATATTTGACCAATACTGGTACATTCGTTTATTAATAAGTTATATGGATGGAGTACTAGGAAAATGCTTATGTTGTGAAACAAATAGAAACAGAGTAGGATTGGATAAAAATAAATGCAGCTGGAAGTTGCAATATTTTCTCCTCTTTCCCTCTGGATTGTTTTTGCACACATTCTGGGGCATTTGTACCCCCTTTGGGGGGAGCAAAGGCATAAAGGATGTGTTCACTCATTTTTGTCGATGTTTGAATGTTGTCTTTGGGTCAAGTGAAATAATTGGAATGCTACTTGGAGTTCATTTTGTTCATCCTTATAGAATTGGGTGTTTGGGTTCTTTTTTCTCCCCAAATTTGGTTTGGGTATTGTGCCCATGAGAGAAATTATGACAATAAGAGATGGTTCTAGAACATTTGTTACTCATTTGAGGGCTTTGGTTAAGAAAGTGACCCACTTCCCAAACCATTGTCCATATCCTGAAATTTCTCTCAAGCTTCTGTGTCAGGAAATTCTGGGTTTTTCCAGACAACTGATACGTTTTCATGTTCTATACATGGGCCGTGATCATATTTCCCACTGCTTTGGCTACCATGTTTCTTGGGATTTAAGTGCAACCTCTTTACCATTTTTCAAAGTTTTAAGACAGTCATGTGTTAAATACTTTGATTCTCTCCTATTAATTAAACCTCATTTCACCTTATTCTTATTTATCTGATTAGGACAATCATATTAGAAGAGCAACTATTTATTGAGCTTGTCCTATGTACCAGGCATATTTTGAGGGACGTTACAAGCATTATATAGTTGTAACAATTACCCAGTAAAGCACACACTACTCACTATAGTTTATCAATGAAGAAAACCAGATTTGTTGGCTCCAACGCTAATGTTGTTTTTCCACTTTTGCTATAAATGTAATTTGGTAAACTACCTGAAGTCCAGTTTAGAAACAGAGGCTTATAAATCAACAAATCAATAAGGATAAACCAAACAACCCCCAATTTTAAGCTTATGTGTACAAGCAACATCATGCGGACTCTAGAGAAACAAAAGATGTCATTTTAAATCCCTCCTCTGATATTTCTAGATCACCTGCAAGAACAATTGCCTGATATGGGAGAGACGAGGTACCCATTTCACCTACTCATTTCCTTTTTTCCAAGGAAACAGCTAGTCTTCCTTTCCCAGCCCCACGGAAGTTAGGTGTGGCCATGAGATTGTCTTCTGGCCAATGTCTGTCATCAGACGCTACAGGCAATGCTTCTAGGGTAGGCCCACAAAGCCCTCCTGGCCGGTGCTCACCTCCCTTCCTCCAGGGAGATGCGGATTATCACTGCAGCCTGTTGATCATGGCAGAGCCGCAAGGTGAAAGGAGTCTGGGTCCTTGCTAGCCTTTGGAAGAAAACTCCATGCTCATGAAGAATACCCCTTTCATTTTCCTTGGGTGAGAAATTAACTTCTATTTCAGAAAGCTTCTGAGATTTGGGGTTATTTCTTATCATGGTTCGTTTCCTTTTCTATGAATTGGGGTATCCACTCCACGGAATTATTGGGGAGAATAAATGAGACAATGCACATAAATATGGCATCTGGGGTACAGGAGCTGTTCTATTTGTTATGGTAATTATTGGAATTATTACTATGTAACATAAGTGGAGACTAAAGGAGACAATGCATGTAAATATGGCTTCTGGGATATAGGATGTATTCTACTCATTATGGTAATTACTGTAATGATTACTATGTAACTCGAGTATCATCAGGCTGTAGAGCCTTCTGAGTAACCTTCCATCTTGCAGGAATTCTAGCCTCCTCTCAAGACTACTAAGTGCCCCGAGGAGAATTACCTTTTCTTGATGACTGTCCTAGATTTCTTCTTGATTGCCCCTGGTCACATCCTTACTTCATCCCCTGGTGCTTTAGCCTTCCTTAGTTTGCCTTAACCACACTTTATTCAAAAGTCAGTGTTAACATAGAGCTAATGGGTATCACTAAAGACTTTAAAATAGAGTAAGTAATAATCAAAATAGAGTAAGTAAGGGAATCACAACACAAAAAGGAGAAAACTTTTAAGAGACATGGACTTCATGTCTCTGAAAGTTTCTCAGCTAGGTTCCATCTCACATATTTCCACTGGGCCATTCCTATGTCTAGAGCCCTATCAGTAGCCCCATTCAAATCACAGTCCCCTCTTCCTCCAGTTCCTTTCCAGGGCAATTCCCTATGCCAGACCTCCAGAGAAAAATCTAGAAATATCTGAATAATCCAAATGTCTCAGAATAGAAAAAAAGCCCACGCTAACCAGAACCACCACTGCCCTGGGCAATAAATCTGCCCTCCCTCTCTTTCACATGACTAAATAATTAACATTCTTGTGTGCAGCGTTGGTATTAGGATTTTATCATCCAAATGTGGGACTACCATAAAATGAAAGAATAGATCCCTGACACAGGAGCGTGACAGCAAGCTTTACCAAAGTGAGCCCTTCTAGAAAGAAGGAAAGAAAAACTTGGCCGCTGCTGTTAGACAGCAAATTCCATGCAATTTTAGAACCTTCCTTTGGTCCCTCTGCCTAGCGTTCCTTCTATTCCTCCTGCTTTCTTGCTCTTCTTGACTCAGAGCTTCGACACAAACTATCAGGGTAAACAGCCCTGCATTATATTTGAAGAGCACTCTCTGGCATTTGACTCAAATGCCACTTCCTCCCGGAAGAAACCACACACAGCTTCCTCAATCTGCCGGTACCATCCTCCCTCCTTCACCAGCCAGTTATCCATAGAACTTACCATGATCCAGAGCAATGATTTCCAACAGAATTTTCTGTGATGATGGAAATGTTCTTTATCTGCACTGTTCAGTAGGACTGCTCAAGCAACACGCAGCTGTGGAACACATGAAATGTGCTGGTTTTACCTTGGTGTATACCTGGGACTAATACAACATTGTGTGTCGACTATACTTCAGTTAAATAAATAAACAAACAAACAAACAAATAAACAAATAAATAGAAAGAAATGTGCTGGTTTTGATATCTTACAGGCTCCCTCATTAGCTAACATGTTAAATAAAACCTGTCATGTGTTCATTTTATACAAGAGACTTGCATTTACCTTTTTGAAAATCACACTGCAACAGTATTGAAAAGTCTACAGTGAATTCATCAGAAATGCTTCTCCTTGGAAACACACATTGCCCTTAATTCCAGACCATGATAATAAATGCTTACAACATTCTCAAGTCAACACAGGCAGCAATGGGGACTTGAGGTGAATCCCAAGGATCATATTATCTAATTGAGCCAGCACTCGACTAGGTATGAAGTGATAATGATCATTTTTCTATGTTTGTGAAGTGGAAGACTCCTATGCAGTTATGAAAGCCTCTATAAAGGGAGATAGAAGAAAATAACAATGACGTTGCCTTCACTAAAGCGGGAAGGATGGGAGCGGTGTGCTGGAAGTCAGCCTCTTCCTCATTCCGCCTCCACCCCCTTGGCTACCTTAAGGATTCTCCCAACCAGTTGCAATGTGTAGGTTGGGGGCAGGGTGTGGGGGGAAGGGCCCCACACCACCAAGCAATTCTCAGGACACCAGCTGGGAATACTGCAAATTCAACTCAGTTCTTACCCTGTCTACCTAGGGATAGTGTCAGATCACACAGGTTAAGGGCTCAGTCCCACAAGGCTGCCCCCCATGCCCATCAGATGCCAGTCACAAGTCCATGTTGTCACCTCTGCCTCTGACTGAGGGGGATCCCACACCCCTCCCCACCTTGGAGTCTATTTATTTGCTGGAGCAGCTCCCGGAATTCAGGAAACCAATTTACTCACTAGATGGTGAGTCTATTACAAAGATTATTAAAGAATATAAATTGGTTAGGTGAAGATATGCATAGAACAAGGAATGGGGAAGACACAGGTAACTTCTGTGCCCTCTCAGAGTAGGCCCCCTGAACCCAGTCCTTTTAGTTTTTAAGGAGGCTTTATTATATAAGTATGATTGATTAAATCATTAGCCATTGGTGATTGATTCAACCTCCAGCCCCTCTCCTCTCCCAGATCACGGGGTGGGACTGAAAGTTCCAACGCTTGAATCAACATGTTGGTTTCCCTGGCAACCAATCTCCCATCCTCAGGTGGGGGTCCTGAAGTCACCTCATTAACATAACAAAAGATACTCTGCCATTCTCATCAACTAGGATATTCTAAGAGTTTTAGGATGACTGTGCCAGGAACAATGGAGGAAAGCTAAATGTCTGTTATCATAAACCACAGTGTCACAGCCCCCCATGGCCTCAATGTGAAAACTACTGACCTGCATCACCTTATGGGTGCCCACTCAGTATCTCCTACCCACATTCCTAAACTACTCCTACCTTTCCTTGGGTTCTCAAATCAGCCCCATTATTACTACTTCCCCCATTTATTTTAACTTTTTTCTTAAATATTTTATTTATTTTTGAGAGAGAGAGAGTGTGTATGAGCAGGGTGGGGAGGGAGGGGCAGAGGTAGAAGCAGATTCACAGCTGAGCAGGGAGCCTGTTGCAGCGCTTGATCCCAGAAACCTGGGATCATGACCTGAGACTAAGGCAGACGCTTAACTGAATAAGCCACCCAGACACCCACTATTTTCCCCATTTATCACATAGTCTTGAAAGTCTACAATGTGTGAAGCATTGAGCTAAATGTTTCTGGCAATCCAAACAGAAATCAGATGTAAAACCTGCCTCCACTACATTGATCCTTTGGTAGAGAAGAAGTCATACATTAGTCAGAGCAATGGAAAAGTAGAAAGTGGTTGAAGCTGCTGGGGTGTGACATATTAGTTCTGATTTTGGTTTCTGAGGAAGACTTCTAGGCTAGGAATGGAAGGGAGATGGCGGGGGCATGTCTGAACCTCTGTGTCTCTGATCTGGGAAAGTACTAAAACCTTAAATATAACCATAAAATAAAAACTACCATTTAATGAAGACTTACTTGGGTTCCAGGAACTGTTCTAAGCATTTGGGGTATTTTAATTAATAATCTCACAATGACCTGGATGGCAGCAGATATCCTTATCTTCAGTGTACCAATGAGAAAACAGGTGTGGGGAGCTGGAGTGACTAGCCCAAGGTCACAATTTCAGCATGGGTGGGGCTGGGATTTGAACCCTGGCCAGTTAGCTTCTGACCTGCTCCACAATCCCATTTCTTACGAAGGAAATGATCCTCAGGTTAAATTCCATTTTTCACCAAATATGTTGATTCTTTGATTTGACAAATATTTTGAACACTTATCCCATGCCAGGCCTTGAGCGTATCACAGAGAAGATAATACCCTTGGTACCCACAGAGCTTGTGGTCTGGAACCGGAGAAAGACAAGTAAACTTTCAGTTCTAATTCAACCAATGCAGCATCATAAGGATTACAATGAAAGTAACCAAGAATGATGAGAAATGGCTAATTTCTACTTTAGTAGTTTTTGCAGTTTATAAAGTGCTTTCACATGCTATAGCCCTTTTCATATTCACATGCAAAAAAAATAGCAATGAGGTAGGGAGTGCATGGATTAATATTCTTGTATAATGAGATGGAGAAAAGTGGATTCAACAGGATTCATGTCTGGAAGGGCATTACATTTTGGGAAAGAAGCAGACTGATTTAAAGAGGAGCCAGAGGAAGGGGCCTGGGTGTGAGGGAAACAGTTTTGCTTCAGACAGAGGAACATATGCCTTCTCTTTGGGGACCAGTAAAAGGGAGCTGGAGGGGTGGGGGAGGAGAGGAAGGGCGGAAGTGCTGGGAGGGGTGGGAGATAAGGAAGGCCAGCTCTGAAATTCAACCTCCTCTTTTAAGCCCTAGTATATGTAGCCCCTCAAACAGGGTTTCCAACCACCGATTCCAATTCACATATATTATTCGTTATTTTTCTTCCTGAGTATAAATCTTCAGTGAACAGAATATAGAAAATGCATGCTAGTATAAAATAGGCTCATTAACCAAAGAATCACTTTTTACATTTGACTGTTTTTCTGTCCTACCTTTATCTTTGCAGAGTCTAGTTCAAAATTAGGATAATACTGCTTATGCCATTTCGTTGCCTGCTTTATTCACTTAATAGGTTGTGAGGTTTCCCCAAATGTCTCTGTTGCATCTGAATATTTGCTTCCCTCCATAGGAAATACCACAGCTTCCCTTTTATACACTGGTCTTCATAAGGCAGCCTCACTTGGTTTCCTCACAGCCTCAGGACCAGCTCTCTGACTTGGGAAGGGCAGCCCCTCTTACCTACCCTAACCGATGAGGAAATCCAGTGGTTGAGAGTTTAGTAAGCCACTCCATGGTGCTGCTTACCTGGCATCCATTTTGTGTGGCCAAGCTGCTTGCAGGGGCCTTAAACTGATACTAGCCCCTCACGCAGACCCTCATGTGCCCCAGATAGCAGCCCACAGAGTCTCAAGCAAATGTAAGTTCCTGACATGACTTCCCCAATAGTCTTTGTGAGCAAGTCTTCCCTCCCCTCCCAGGGTCTTCCCCTGTGACCCCTGGAAGCATGCCGTGTACTTCCTGTGGGTAATGAACTTCTCCACGGCAACATCTCTTGTGGTTCGTTGTGGAATGCCACTCAACATCGGCCACCCTGTGCTCCACTTAATAGTTGTTAAATTAACAAAGTCATAACACCTGTCCAGGTTGAACAACTTGCCTGGGGTATCAGAAGGTCAGTAAGAGAGAAGAAGAAAACTCGGGTTATTCCTTCAAGGTGTTTAATAACCTGGCTCTGAGAGCGTCGTCTAGGATACATTATCTGGATAGTTTACACAAAATCCACAGGCCACTATAGTCCCACAGAATAGAGATATTTCTAATCCTATTTGCCAAGGCTGTAAAAGGAAAATTTTTCCTGGACACTGGTTAAAAATGTCCAGGAAGACTTCATTCTTGCCTCTGGGGAGAGAGATTGAACCCAACTTTGAATACGACAGGAACAAGGGGGATTCACGGCCACTGGGCAGGAGGAAGGGTGGGATGGGAAATTACCAGGCGGAATTTTGTTAGGTACTGCAGGTGAAGGAGGGGTAGGAGATGAAGGGTTTGAGATGAGCAGCTTAATTGGCTATCAAGGATGGGGGTGTTTTTGATAAACTGGTTTAGCAGGATTCTTTGTTAAAACTGGGATTTGCAGGCACAAAAGTCCTAGTGAAGAAGAGGACTTCAAAGGAGCCTGACTAAAGTTTGGTCAAGGAAGAAGTCCTTGTCATGGCCACTGCCGTGAGGTCCTAAGGGCCCCTGGACTCCCCTTGTTTCTTTCCAGCCGAGACTGTAAACTTTTCCCTTTTCTCTCCCTCTTGGAGACTGAGAAATCTGCAACCTGGAGCGATCACTTCCTTTGGCAGTGGCTGCATTTGTCCTGGGCTGGTCCAAGGCCAGGGAGAAGAGGATTCGAGGAAGGAGAGTGGGGGTGGGAATGCTTGATGACTGCCCCGGAGAGGGGAGGCTTAGCTGGGCATTTATCCTTGAGGTGGAAAAAAAAAAATTCTGGTAAAATATTTCCTGAGTTCTAAATATCAGAGAATTCACTCCACAGAGTTGAGAGCTGCCTCATGCTCCCAGGGCATCTCCTTAATGAAAATACAGAGTCCGTGCGGTGATTCTGCAAAACTTTCTCCCTATAAAGTCCTATTATGTCCACATGCATATTTATACAAAGTCATAACCCAGGAGAGAAAAATGCTACTGTCCTGTAGGACTAGATTCATTGATTGTGTGGGTAATGGTAAAAATCAGTACTCTGGCCTCATTCGGGGACCATTACTGTGACTTTAAAATTCAAGATATATCACTTTCCCAGAAAAGGCAGCCTGAGCGTAGACACGAAGTCTTTGGATGATTAATGATTAGAATCCCCTAAGAGTGAGCTGTGGAGGAGCCAGACAAAATGGAATTAAAATGTTGCATGTTACCTAACATTCCCTCAGATGGCTCAGAAACTCCCCGTACATTTGTCATTTCTCGTATCCTCTTAAAAGTCAGCTACATTTCCAAAATTCTAAAGTTTAGTGAGAATCTTGATTGAGGTAGGGTTTCTTTTCTTTCTTTTTCCCAGACAATAATAGCCTTTAAGATTAATGCTCCATTATTTCCATGGTGTTTGTTTCTCAACAGGAACATTTGTATATGCATACTTATCCCTGTAAGAGTGCTATAAGAGTGAATAAAATAATATAGATGAGCCTCCTGGTGCCGGACCTGGCACATAGTGGGTCCTCGATGATGGTAGGCACTGTCGGCATTGTAATATGTGACAGACATTGGTGATTTGGTCTCTACAGCATCTAATTCCTGTAGTTCTTATAGCAACACCTCTAATTTTCTTTGGGGTCCCATTCCTCCCCCACTGAGTTTAAGTGGTCCAGATCATGCTAGAAGATCATACCTTAACAAACAGTAATAATAATAACCAGTAATTATTCACCAGAACTTTACCAGGTACCAGGCATGGTTCTAAGCACCGTATGTACAAGAATTATCTCATTTACTATCCAAAACCACGTCATGAAGGAATGCAGTGGTGAAAATAAGGAAAGGTGCTGTCACGCAGGCCTGCAGAATGTCATGGCTTCAAAACACAGAAGCTGGGGCCCCTGGTGGCTCAGTCGGTTAAGCTTCTGCCTTCGGCTCAGGTCGTGATCTCGGGTTCCTGGGATCTTGCCCTGTGTCAGGTTCCCTGCTCAACGGGGAGCCTGCTTTGTCCCTCTCCCTCTGCAACCCCCCACCCCCGCTCATTCTCTCGCTCTCTCAAAATAAATAAATAAAATCTTAAAACAAAAACAAACAAACAAAAAACCCCTACAATTTCTCTCTCCTGTAATAATCCTGATTGAAGGGGTCTGGATAGGCGGGCTCAGCTTTGCTCTGTGTGGCCTTTCCGAGGTTCAGGTCCTTTCGTCTGGGTTTTTCAGGGCATCATCCTCATCTGCATGGTTAGAGCTGGGTCTCTGCTCTGTTTGTGTTTCAGCTGTCTAGATGGGAATAAAGAGCATGGGGGGAAATATGCCTGATACCTGAATTCCCATATCTGAAAGAGGTGCCCATCCTTCATACTGTGTTCCATTGGTCAGAACTTCGTCACTAAGACACACTCAACACCAAGAGAGTCTGGGAAATGTAGTCTCACTGGGCACAAGTCCTTTCTAGGGGTGAAGAAGAGAATAGAGTTCGGTGGGCACTCAGTGTTACAAGTATTAGAGGAAATATAAGTAACACAGGTAATACATTATTCAGTCAATTTTATGAAGTGGGGAAACAGGCTTAGTGAGATTAAGTCATCACAGGGGATTCTGTCTCTACCCCATCCACATACCACACCCTAACAGACAGTTCCTGTACCACTTTCCTAGAATCTCTGTCTGAGAGAGATTTCCAGCCATGGGAGCAGGGTTGGCCAGCTCAGTTAATGGTCCCAGAGCAAGCCTTGGTCAATGAGGGGGCAATAGTCAATGTATAAATTACCCAATATTCTCTGTCCCTCCATGCCACAGTTCTGAGATGTGCCCCACAAAGTCAGAGTGACCACAGCGTGACTCTTAATTGTCCAGCAGTAACCTGCTCATAAAATATTCCTTATTAACTTCTTTAATTTTCCTCTCACTCTCTCATTTCCCTGGTTCCTCTTATGCTTCACGGAGTTACCTCCAAAATAAACTATTTGCCTCTAAACACCTGTGTCAACTTTTGTGTTTCAGCATTGAAACTAATAAATGCACACAGTTAGCCAATGCTGAGGGAAGAGGAACTTGAAGTTGGCTCGCTGTTTCCAGACCTGACTTCTTAACCACATGGCAAAACTTTCTCAAGTCCTGAGCGGGAGAACCATGTCTCATACATCGTTTCATCTACTGATGATGGGTACGATGCCTGGCACACAGGGCAAGGGAAAGGAAGGGCTGATGGTTCAGCCTGGAATGTGAGCCTTCCGTATGATAGGCATGGTGCTAGTTACCTTACGTGCCTTATTTCACCTCATCTTAGCCCCAGTCCCCAGGCTGTCAATTCACCTAATCATCTTTGGATCTCCAGAACTCAGCACAGGGCTTGGCACAAAGGAAGTCCATGCTCAACAAATGCGTGTTGAATGGCTAAAGTGAACAATTAGTGATTCTTATGAAGTAGGTGCTATTATTAAGTTTTGTCAGATGAAGACACTTAAATTCAGAGAAATTAATATCATTTCTTTTTTTTTTAGATTTTTTTATTTATTTGACACAGAGAAAGAGGGGGAGAGAGGGAGAGAGAGCACAAGCAGGGGGAGTGGCAGGCAGGGGAGAAGCAGGCTCCCCGCTGAGCAAGGAGCCTGATGTGG